TTGTGTTAAATGCGAACAAGAAAGGATTAAGTGGAAGTAATTAGAAATGCATGTCAATTTTGCTGAAAAAAATTCACTGAAGCATCGATTGTAAGTCGAAATTTGCCAAGTCCCTATCAATATCAGGTTAAAAGACTATATGGAAAATGCAAATCAAAGCCTGTTTCACCGTGGTCTAATTACACATCAGAGGTGAATGTTTCTCAGATCTCAGAACGGACGTGGCACTGCAGAGTCGATGGTCCAAAAGAGATCGATAGCAAGGGGTCACTTGGCTCCACGTTGGAGAAAAAAGTTTGAATATTAGAACAAAGTGTTACATTTCTCGATAGCAGTTATTACATCCATTATGGCGATGTGTAGTTTTCAATTTGTCCCATTAAATTCCGATCTCACAAGGTTCAACTGAAGATAAACATGCACGAATAATTCTGAAATGTTAGTGATAACCATATCATGACAAACTAATGAGCGTTTGTAAGAACCAGTGAGCTGCTCGGTTGTAACATCGCTTATGTCTTCCATACACACCCGTAGACAATAAAAATGAGAAAGTAATTGAAAAAATTAACTGAAACTTCGATTTCAATTCGGATATTGCACAATCCTTATGAAAATGGATATTGAAATGATCACGGATTCGAGATCTATCCAAATATGCTGATATTTTTGATTTTCCAACCCTACGATCGAGAATCCTAGTCGCACTGGAGGGTTGATGACGGTGTTATGTCCGCAGGTATTGCTATTGGCAAGCAGACTCCGAATTTTGCAAAAATAAGGCTAAAAATTCGAAGGAAAGCCGAAACGAACTAGACCATTGGATTCGCCTTGGCAATTGCTATCTAATGGTTCCAAACTCAAATCATTTAAACCATTTTTACAGCAGTTATGGCGAAGCGACGGATTGCGGCGGACTAGTGCGCTGAATTCTGTCGATTTACCAGAAATTAGGGGCGGTATTGTAGTCCACAATCACAAACGACTTCTTGGTTTTTGACTCAATAGTGAGTAACAAGGAACCTATGGGTTTATGTCATAATTCTATAGCGAAGGCTCAAATCATGCCCTAGAATGACAGCACAGTCACGGTCAACCGTGCGTCCGTCCGTGCTTGTAGGGATGGTTGTATTTTCAACTTTGGATTGTGAGGCTGTGCATTTTTACGGGGTTGCGATGGTAGAAGTTTATTCTACAGTTGTTTGAAAGAAGCCTTGATTGTCCTGAGCCGAGCAGAATTTGGCATTCCAATAGTTGTAGCTACTCCCCACCCCTTTCACTCAACGGCAGTTCTGGACATGAACGAGGTGATGGAGAAACGCTCCACGAGGGAGGAGGAAGAGGTTCGTTAGATTCACATTTATTCGAAAGACAGGCAGGACGGAGCCACTCGAATCCGGCTATGGATGAGTGACGGACAAGACAAAAAGAGTCGTAGAGTCGTTTCGACGTGTTACGCCTCCAATTAAAGCAACAGTCCAAGCAGGGTCTCTTGCTTTCAATTAAAGCAACAGTCCAAGCAGGGTCTCTTGCTTTCAATGGTTATGTGATTGAAGGATACACTAACCCTAATGAAGAACATATGAAGGTGGAAATATTAACTTACCTTGGAAATCCGCAAAAAGGGCGTAAAACTCCTCAAAAATGGGTGTGCTCGGAAATCCCCCAGGACCGCCCACTTGTCAGCCGTGATTGGCTGCGGCGGCATTGGTGACGCTGGTTTTCTCTTTTTTATTGAAATGTTTTCATGTCAGCACTTCTTGAATTCATGGGCTTCATCATGTTCATCCGTTGCCAGCAATTGTAACTGGAGCGCATTACTGCGGGCATGTTCAGACAACTCGTCCAACGCGCGTCTTCCTCCATTGCTGAGTGGCAGAGGGGGAGTCCCTGTCTAAGTCCCTGTTCGACGTTTTTTCTCAGTTTTTTTTTCTGTATAAGTTTTGACCTACAACTTCATTATCGGTAGGTTTTGCTCGCGAATTCGTTCTTGGATTGCTGCCTCCAGTAAGCATCATGTTTTGACCAGGAGGTAGCGCATTACATAGGCAAGTTGGAAGATGCAGCTATTAGAAGTAAAATGATCCTAAAATGAAAAGCTAACAGCGAACAATTCCCCCAATTTGCCAACTGAAGTAGTGGGTGGAGCGACTTTGCAGGACTGCACAACCAACGCACCTTCGATTGGGGAAGCGTTACGTCTCGCTTCCTTGGAAAGCAACAGTCCCAGCAGGGTGGGCGTGGTCGGAAACGGCTGCAATCCCCTCGGCCGATTCCCACTTCGGAGCTGTTCAGCCCCTAGTCAAGAACGTAAGAAGTGTGACTGAACAAAAACTCACCTTGGAAAGCCGCTAGGGAGGGAGCTGAAGTGGGCGTGGTCGGAATCGGCCGAGGGGATTGCAGTCGTTTCCGACCACGCCCACCTGCTGGGACTGTTGCTTTAATCATTGTAAGGCGCACACACTTATACAAAACGCTGCCTTCTGATCGTAGTCGCTTCGAAAAGAACGGATGGATAAGAAGATTTTAACGTTCGATACAAAAAGTGTACATTCAAAAAGAAAACCGAACGCTAAGGATCAAGATATCGCAAGTCTTGATGAGCGTACTTTGAAGCGGGGCTATTTCGAGGGCACTCGTTTGGTTTCGAGTCCGGATGCATTGTCTAGTCTAAAAGTTTCAGACCAGATGCCGGCGGTGGCAAAAGAAAACGACGGTCTGCTCCAGGAGAAGCCGAGGGACCACGAGCGCCAGATGTGAGTATCAACCTATTAGTCTTGAAACTCATGCATTGAAATGGACATTGATTCCCAGTGCAATATAAGGAATAACTGCTATGAGATCTCTACGATTATTTGCAAAGAAATATATGGAGCAGTGCACTATTGTGCCGGCTAATTAGCTTACCTGCACTGATATTGGGTGCACCTCTACCATTTTTCAGTCAGAGCAAAGACGTTAAATTTTTAGGATGACACACAACGCTTAGGAAGCAGTAATATATCAGAAGTGAGCTTTTAAAAATAAATATCGTTAAAAAGTTATTCGTAAGGAAAGAATGGAGCTCCATGTCAGACAAAGAAAAGAACGAATAGTGATGGAGTGGAAAATACCCATGAGACTGTGGAAAAAAATGGAAAGAGGGATATGATAGGCAAGCAGTTATAGAGAGAATTATTGGAATTGCAGAGAACTTCAGCATGAAGAAAAATCTATTTTTTCTGATTAGTAAAAACAACGAAAAGAATATCACTGAAACCAACCACAAAAAAGCTGCAAACAAAATCGATACATAGTATCATGTAAAAACGCTGAGTAAATTTCCCATAACTTAGCTGTCAGATTAGAATGAGCCTGGGAGCCTTTATGATTTTCGACAACAAACCGTAATCTAAGCGTGGCTCTCGCTAGAACCTCATTGAATGGAACCTTCCAGACGTCATCTCATTCGTGGGCGTGGATACCTCGAGATTCCAAACTTGGAATTTTTGGTAACATAAATCCGGTAATATAAACCCTAGCCAAGCACTGCTCGAGGGTTAAGCGGTGAGAGACATTTTGACCCGCTCAGATCTATGTGCAATCATTTTGATCAACCATTAGCTTTGCCGAGAAACTCTACTTTCTTCAGAATTTCTCGAGGTTCAGTGTGCCTTGACAGCTTAAGGGAAACCTGATGCAGATCTCTTGAATGCTGATGCACCCTTTGTTCCGCTACCATAGTATCATCAAGACTAATCTTGGACAAGAGCGATATAGCGCGCTCTACATGACTGCTAAGGAACACGAGTCTCATATACAGGTGTGGTAGGTGTCTCCTTGAGCCACCTAAAGAAAGGGTGCAGTCTACTCCACCTCAGAGTCAACCCGTGCGTTGCGCAGTTCGCAACGGCACGTTGAGAGATCCTCAACGCACGCTGTATGGGCGGAGACACAGACGGCTCGAGCATGCGAGTGTGAATGTTCGCGCGAGAGAACGTGTCTAATCGGGCGAAACTGCGCAACGTGGCCGTTGAGAACTGCGCAACGCAGGGTTGACTCTGCCCCTCCTTTTCCAGCAATTCCTCCAAGACTGGTAATTAAGATGGATTGTGTGTCTCCGTATCACATTTCATTTACAACTTCATGTCTACCCAATCGAGTGGTTCATTACAGTCGCAATTGTCCGTGCAAAAACTGATATGTGCGACTGATCTCAATTGATATCATACTACAACCTTATAGAACTTCTTTATGATGGCATACTACAACCCTATAGAACTTCTTTATGAATCTCGATACTGATTCACTACAGTTCTTGAGCACCTAACCGCAAGATCCTGTGATGACGATCGACATGTTTTCATAGCATACCCCACAACGCAGATTCCACTTATTGCGTCACTGATTTCACTTGCCTGTCTTATTATCACGTTATTAAATCTTGTTCTTATGGTTAGATGTATCCAAAATGTGCTCGATTAGGAACAGTTCGGCTGCTCATCGTCAGAACGAGAGATGCATATCACCTTCTTGTGGGTGTGTGAATCTATTAGAATATAGTTGTATACGGCAAGCCAGATAAGGGGTTACTGTAATGTGTCCACAATATCAGGGGGAAGCTCATTTTCTTGCTTGCACTGACTGTTGTCTCCTTCCTGACTTTTGTCAAATAGAATGTTGATTATCAACATTACGATACATCACGTCTCGTCAATAATTTGTAAATTTGAAACAAAACGTTGGCCTTTATCCCTATAATCAGCGTCAGGAATTTGAAGAAATTTAAACCCGTTGCTATTATCAATATCTTATTGAAGTGAGCACGATTTCCCCGCTATCCCATTAGATGAAGTCACAAAGTATTAGGCTGATGCATAAGTAATTGCCGATTTGACAAAAATTTCAAAAGTTCACAACTTTCTTTTGAACCACCTTGGTTAAGTGCCCTATTTACCACAACTGTCTACAAGTGTCCTCTATCTATCCGCAAGTGAATGGATACCTCTCCCACAAACTACGCAACCTTCGACGTCAAGAATCAGTGGATGTCTGTTTTGAGGTGATCGCCTTCATCGTAGTTTTTCTCGTTAACACATTCACGACGACGCCCCTTTTCCACTTTTCGGTCGCGTGGGACGGACGCGATTTTGTGGGCGCCGCCGCCTCACCACATAACCGCAGATTTTGTTTTGTAAATGAACAAAAACATGAATGTCACAAAATAATTTCTGCAATGTCCAATGCGTAAAGATTATCTAAACATATAACAGTAGGATTTCGATCAGAACGACAAATAGTGGTTACGAAAAGAGAGCATTTATTCACTTTCCCCGTGAAGGAATTTAAAAGCATTTTACACTCGATTACGAGGTTTGCCCACCTATCTGTCCATTCCTAGCGCCTGGCAAGCGATTATCAGTTGGCAGCCCATATGGGCGGCCATCGGCGTGAATGTGTTAAGGAAACGAGCAAATAAGCAGAGCAACTGGTGATTGGTTGCTATACCTCAGTGGATTAGAAAGAGTGGGGAAAATCATGAGGCCAAGTTTCTGTATAGTATTCTGGCATTCTCTCGATACATGTGGGTTGCGAGCTGCCGCGCAGTGGAACAATTTCATTACTGAAGCCTCAACTTTGCGATATCCGAAGCAAGTTTATCAGCTGTAAGCAGTAGGTGTCTGCGCCAGCAGTGGTGGTATTGTTTGAAGTCTGTGATGAAGCAATCCTACAATCGGAGAGCGGAACCTACTCCGGGTGAAGTTCACCTATTGGGGCTCGTTGTCGCTGCTGAGCTGCACGTTCCCACTGATGCCTCCGTAGGTTGCTTGGCTAGACTGCGCACTCCTCAACCCCAGTGACCCCTTGTCAAGCCGATCGAAACAACGGCTTTATGCAGCAAACTTTGTGAGATGATCACACGTGTCCTTCGAGCCACCTCGTCCAACTCGTGAGAATTCCATCTTCCCAGCGTGTACAATTTCTCCATGGCTCAGAGGGAACGACACATGGTGCACTGGGAGGACTGAAGGTCTACTGCAGTTTGACGGGTGCTGGTACCAAGTTGCCCAAAGAAGCTTCTGCATGCGTTCAATATCTAGAGCCATTGGGTGTCAAAACATGGTCGGTCTTCAGGGCTATAGTCGAAACTCGTAAAATATACAGCGACGAACATGTGTTAAGGAGGACGGCATTATTTCTCCCAAAAGACGAGTACTGACGGTCAAATTTCGTAATATGAAAGGACACTTGGGTCGCCACATACTGCTCTGCGGGGAACAACACAAACTTTTTCCAAGAAAATGGCGTGGGTCTGAAGAATCGGCAATTACTTATGACGCAACCATATCTAATGAATTAAGCCCGCGGCAGCACTAATGTTAGGGCATCCAAGAAGCTTTCTTTATAGTTCATTTTCAAATTTATTCACCAATGACAAATTGAAACTTCAATCAGTGCCATTCCACCATCACTTCCCATCGATTGTTCAGTAGATGGAGTCAAAGTCAATCATACGTCTGATCAAGTAAGACGAGAATCGTATTTGTGACTTTTGATGGAGAGGTAGTTTTTAACTGAATCGCGACGATATTGTGGCAAGCTTTGAAAAAAGCGTGAAATTGAAGAAATCGGAGCAATTGCTAATTCTAGCCAAACTGAAACCCTACCCCCTTACCACGCCTTCTCATAAACAAGTGGAACAGTTCTGCAAGAAGATCTCAAGATAGTGACAATAAAACCATGCTGGTTTTCGGAACGTCTGCTATTTTTTACACATATTGCCGTCCCACTACCGCTCCTGGACGGCAGTCATGCAGGGGAAGTACGGGCGGAGAAGAAATAACCGACTGGTTTCAGAACACTAGAAACAGGTACGGAGCTGAGGGTCGCGGATGATCTGAAAAATCGTACGAAAACGGAAGCAGCCATAAACAAAGTAGAACACTACGGAGCGAAGGTCTTAAAGGAATCCTTCCGCGGAAAATTCTTGCATTCTTTCTTAACATGAATGTGTCAGTTGTGATCACTGGAAACAGCACACAAAGTTTCACGCATGAAGATTCGGTTTCCGAAGAGAAACAAACGTACAAAAACTACACTATGGACAATCGAAGGTAATTCGGGCGGAGCCAAAGGCGAGGCATGGAAAGAAGTTGGCCTTTGGCCGGCTACGTATCAGGCGACGCAATGAAAGAATCGGGTTAAAGCGCGCGATTTCGGAGAGTAGAGACAAATCGATCGATAGAATAGGATGGAGTAGAAGAAGATGTGAATGCAATAAGCAGAAGGCCAGAAAGAGTTTCTAGTGAAGGCACTCCAAGAACCAAGTGGAAGCATCCCCGTCGCCAGCATTTGTGAAAGACGTCCGTGGGCACTTTGAACGCGTAGCAGCCCTTTCGATTTTTCGAATTTTTTACCAAAACAAAAGCAATATTTCTGTTCTTTTCGTTCTTATTGTGGATAACGGACGCACGCTTGACATTGCCCAGAGGTGTCACTTTCCAGGGCTGTGACAGGGCAGGACTAGGTACTTTCCCAATTTCGCCTTGAACACTCTTATTTGGTGGGGAGCTGTCAAGTACTATGGTTCGGATATTGGTGAGAAGCCCTTGAGCGAGGTCATAAAAATTTCCATAATGCCCTGCACTGATTTGAGGGCTGGGAGGTCGAATCGACCACAGACTTTGCAACGCTTTCCATCCCACCGATGCCAGCCAATGATATCCAACGAGGAAAAAACGGCCTCTCAGCAAAAGCACCCATTTCCTTCAACACGTCGAGACCGCGCTCATTTTCGCTATCTGGCCCGACCGCGTGAATAATACACGACATCTTCGGTCCTACGGGTAATTTCTTTGTTGTGGGTGTTAAATCTCACGATTTTGGCAATTTCATTTGGATCACCTCTTGTCCGTTCGTGCTCGCAGGGTTATTGTTGGACAGATTTTACGCACATTATTACTTGGAAGCTCCATTCTTTCTACGGCATTAGAAGGGGAGTACCCAAGTGTTGCAATTCAGCAGGATGGCGACACGCCGGCTGATCGAAGCGAAAGAGCGCAAACAGGAAGCAAGGTATTTTTATAAATTTGCTGAAACAAGAGCAATGACATCATATAATCACAGTTCAGATTTACGAAGTATAAATACTAAAGGAAGTACGGAAACAATTGGCCTTGTTCATGTTCCTATGCTCTTTTCTCCTTTCTTCTATTTCTTTAAATGTGACCGTTTTCACGAATACAAGAAGTATTGGTGCTAAATGGTCCAGGATAGAAAAGAAGGGAAATCTGTTGAAAACAGTTGATTCAAGGGCTTGTACACCTCCGTAATGCGGCTGTGCTAAGGCAACGAGAGACTGAGCGCAGAGAGGAGTGTGAGGCGAGAGAGCACAACAGGTGAGAGGGCGCCAGACAACAATCCGCTGCGGATGTCGAATAGTGCGCCTGGCTGCAGCTTACTTTGCAAGCCCCCAGCGCCTTTTCGAACGATTCCACGCATGGGAGTGCCACAAGTGCCACGAGAGTGCCACTGACTGGGATTGTCCTCTCGAGCTCTATAGGCGGAAGGGGATCCTTCACACGACTCCTGCCTGAGATGTGCCTTTAACACGTCTGATCAAATTCTCTCTTTGTCGCTGCTCATCCATGGTCGAAAATAAAGGGCAATCAAAGGGGTACTATTTTGCTTATTTTTGACGGATTTCTTTGCTTTTTTCGCCATTGGCGTACTATTGAGCCCACACGTCCCCTTTAAATCCTTGCAAAATCTATCGTCATTGCTACCTTCAAGAAATATTCAAAATTTTGCAGCATACTGTACAAACTTCTGACGCTGCAAAAAAAAGTGAAATACAGGGTGCGCCGAAATCAGCGCCACACGTGATCATTCAATTACCGATATGGGGTGCTGTTTTCTTCTGCCTAATTTTGGTACTGTAGTGTTGAACTGTTTAGACCTACGTTGTAAAACCACCAAATCTATGATTGCCACGACGGTTGGAGGATACGGCCACCGTTCCTATAAGTGACTTCAATGTCGAGGGTTTCGGCGCGCAAAGATTATCGCCTTTTTGGTGTACGCCTAGTACTATTCAGAGATCCTGCGAATGCTACAAAAAACGAGCAGAAGAATACAATCGTTATGGGTGGGGAGGGCCGTTTCTTTGGTGATCGCGAGCAATCCAAGGATGGTACGTGATGGAATTTGCAGGTAGAAGGCGCGCTCGTTTCGCCGAATGTCACGAAACTTCGAGAATAAATAGCCTGTGGGACATCTGGAGCCAACTGCTACCCTGAGCTTGCTTATTCCATTTGAAAAATCATTGTTGGATCTTCCATCAAGTTCATGAGCTCCCATTTCAGGGTTAGGGTGGTGCAGACCGTGTGCAGAACCAATTCTTTTCATCAGGGAGATTCATTTATACCTTGACGGAAGAACTGTGTATGCAGCCATTTCCGCACCATGTCGGACTGTGTATGCCACACCCAATTACATTTGTTTTTTTGCACACACATACCCGAATTCTTCCCAAGTTTTTTTTGTGTTCATTTTATGGGCCATACATCAACATGAACAAAAACCATAAGGCTCATGGAATGGCTGAATACTGCCGAGTTTTTTCCGAACCTTACGAAAACATCCATTCAGTTCGATCCTCATTTTCTTCCCATTCAACATGAGCACCTAGATAAAAAAGAGTAATGGAAGTGAAAATAAACTTAGTCGCGTTGCGAGATATCTGCATTCATTAATGTAACTACATTCAAAACAACTTTGGAACTACTAATGCGAACGTACGTAAATTCGCTTCCTCGTAGCCATAGCACAATATTTTGGTCGCACTTCCATTACCGTAACTATCGATAAGATTAATACATTGAGAAATAGTGGAAACGTTCCGTCGCACACAAGTTTTGCGTACTCTAATTTTCAGTAGATAAGCCTGCGCCGATTTCACGTAAAATCACCTCCGCTCGTGCAGTGTAACTTTGTACACCTTAGAAACTACCGCAAATTTGCCTATAGAGGTAATTCGATGCCCTGATTACGAAAATGACTTTCATTTTTAGCGGTGGCGCCATCTGGCGCCAGTTGGCGTCACCTTGTCACGACCCTTGTTTTCACCAAAATCGGTGTAAACTTCGTATAGGGGTTATTTGGTGTCCTGATTACGAATATGACATTCATTCTCGGCGCTGGCGCTATTTGGCGCCTATTTTCTGCTCGTCTGCGCTCTCCAACCGAGAAATATGCACTGAACAACGTTAACGCCAAAAACGAATGTCATATTCGTAATCAGGGCCACAAATAACCCCCCCCCATACAAAAGTTTATACCGGACATCGAATTAACTCTGTGGGCATGTTACGGTTGTCTCTAGATGTACTCAAGTGCACTGCACCAGTGGTGGTGTTTTTACGAGATATTGGCGCGTGCTTATCTACCGGAAATCAGGGTTTTTACAGCCCAAAATCCACACTTATGCGGTGATGTCACAGCGCCTACAAAGTCGTGGGTCCTCCGCGAACAAAAAAGCCAAAACGCGCAATGTCGTCAACGTGTTAAAGAAATTTGCAAGGATGAGTAGGACGAGCCTCACGCACATATTGCATGCCACAGTAGATGGTTCCACGATGCTTCTCAAGGCATGTGTGAATACATACCAAAGAATTTCCAATTTGGCGCACCCTGTAGAATATGAGTAGAAATTAGTGAACAGCAAACCGGTGAAGTTCATTGCACATAGAAAATTCTATTTCTTTACAGAGGGCATCAGATTTTGGAACCAAGGGAAGCGGAGCCGACAATCTTTCGAGCACCTCTGCAGCGACTCCCGTTCGAAAGGGTGAACAAGACGGAAAACAAGAAAAATACCGAAGCGGTAAAGAGGGCGCCGACAAAAAGGAAGAAGGAAAAGACATCCCACCGAGCACTGCCACTGCAATACCTGCTCCTCAAGATATTCCAGAAACAAGCCGATAAAGATGGTAAAGGTGGAAAGGGTGGTAAAGAGAGAAGAAGACAAAAAGGGAGAAGGAAAAGACAACCCGCCGAGCACTGCCACTGCAATACCTGCTCCTCCAGATATTCCAGAAAAAGGCGATAAAGATGGTAAAGGTGGAAAGGGTGGTAAAGAGAGAAAAGACAAAAAGGATGGAAAAGAAGACAACCCGCCGAGCACTGCCACTGCAATACCTGCCCCTCCAGATATTCCAGAAAAAGGCGACAAAGATGGTAAAGGTGGAAAGGGTGGTAAAGAGAGAAAAGACAAAAAGGATGGGAAAGAAGACAACCCGCCGAGCACTGCCACTGCAATACTTGCTCCTTCAGATATTCCAGAAAAAGGCGATAAAGATGGTAAAGGTGGAAAGGGTGGTAAAGAGAGAAAAGACAAAAAGGATGGGAAAGAAGACAACCCGCCGAGCACTGCCACTGCAATACCTGCCCCTCCAGATATTCCAGAAAAAGGCGATAAAGATGGTAAAGGTGGAAAGGGTGGTAAAGAGAGAAAAGACAAAAAGGATGGAAAAGAAGACAACCCGCCGAGCACTGCCACTGCAATACCTGCTCCTCCAGATATTCCAGAAAAAGGCGATAAAGATGGTAAAGGTGCTCCTCAAGATATTCTAGGCAAAAAGGAAGAAGCCGGACAAGGCGAAAAAGGAATTGAAGAGGGAAAAGACAAAAAAGATGGAAAAGAAGAGAAACCGCCAAGCACTGCCACTGCGATTTCTGCTCCACTCGATATGTCAGGAAAAGGACGCAGACGTAGCAAGACTAAGAAAGGAAGTAAGAAAAGTAAAAAAGGGAAACATAAAAAGGATGGTAAACAAGACAAATCGCCAAGCACTTCTAAAGCAACACCAGCCCAAGCAGCAATTTTGGACAAAGGCGGCAGACAAGGTAAAGGTAAAAAGAGAAGCAAAAAAAGTAAAAGAGGAAAACTTGAGAAGGATAGCAGGCAAGACAAGACTCCGAGTATATCAACCTCAATAGGTCCTCCTGAAGGACAGGATGGGAAGGAACGCTAAAAAGGATGAGCCACCAAGCACTTCCACTGCAATACCAGCTCCTCCTGAAGGACAGGATGGGAAGGAAGGTAAAAAAGATGAGCCACCAAGCACTTCCACTGCAATACCAGCTCCTCCTGAAGGACAGGATGGGAAGGAAGGTAAAAAAGATGAGCCACCAAGCACTTCCACTGCAATACCAGCTCCTCCTGAAGGACAGGATGGGAAGGAAGGTAAAA